CTTCCTCAGAACTCACCGGACCCGAAACGTTAACTCTGTTTTCTCCTTCACAGATGCTGCCAGACCTGCTGAGTTTTTCCAGCAACTTTGTTTTTGTTCCTGATATACAGCATCTGCAGTTCTTTTGGTTTTTATGAAGCTTATCAAGTCAGCTGTGATTCATTGAATGGTGGAGTAGATGGCCTGAATGGCCTGCTTTTACATCTTATGATCTTGGTCATGGATAATGCATCCTTCCTATTGAGTCTTTCTTTCTCACTGGAAAGTCCTTTTTCTTAGTGTTCTGAAATAGCGTCTTATTTCCACTTTGGCATTTTGTAGTCTTCAGAACTCAACATTGAGCTCAGCAACTTCTGAGCATGGGCACTTTGTTCCACTTTGATTGCAGTCCCTATGTCTTGTTTGTGTCTTGTTGGCTTTGCCCTCCAAGGGGTGATCTATTTCGTCCTATTTAAAACAATCATTAAACTTTTTTTTTGCATCTCAAATTTGACCTTTATCACCATTACCACCAACATTCTCATTAATTTGTCCTCACCTGTGCAAACCTCTGAGATCTGCATGTGGTGGCAGTTTCTGGAACCAGAAATCAGTGCTGCAGTTGCAGTGTGCAGACACTGGGAATGGCTGTGCAGCTTACAGGGACTTTTGTTTTGGTTTCAGACCAGCTACCATTTTAGAAGCACTTGAAATCTGTCAGATGATGAACAACTTAACAAAGTTGATCAAGGATACCTAGAGTATCTCGAAGAATATCTTAAATATATCTAGAAGAATGTTGTTATGTATGATGTGAAGGGCTTACTTAGATGGCCTAATGTCCCCAGTTTTTATATCAGTACGTGAAAGATGCATAAAACAGGGCTTTCCAAAACAGGGGTCGGCCGCAGTGGAGTCCTGACCAAGTTATGGCAGCTGCGCTCCCACTCTATAAGCCTTGCTGTCTCAACCCTGCCTGCTGTCAGTTAAGTGGTCACAACAATTTTCAAGACTTGAAAAGTGGGGTCACAGAGAAATTGTTTGGGGAACACTGGCTTAAAAGATGAAGAAGACCCTACAACTCAGTATCATTCTGCAGAATCCAATTTAGATAAGAGATTTAGAAGTGCAGATTGTAAAATTTCTACCTAATACTGAATCGTGTGAATTGAAATAGATCTTAATATTGCAATTTATTTTGAAGCTCAAAAATTAAGGCAACTAATATTCTCCTAAATGCTAAATATGCTGACCTTCCAGTAAAGTGAGAAATAGCTAACCAATGGGGTGCTAAGTATGATTTGGGAAGCTTGATGACCATGATTAAATGCAATATGCTTGATTTTATAAGATTTAGCATCTAAGATATTAAACTACAACTTGAATACTTTTGCATGGTTTCTCCATCCAACTTGGTGTAGATAAGTAACATGTTGGCAAGTTTTTTTTTAAGGAAGCGTTTCTTCAATTACCTATTCAAACAAAAAAAAAAATCATCCACTTAGCTAACAATTTCATTAATTTCATAACCTTTGTGACTCAACTTTGTACGGTCCATTCCTGTTCTTAGTTTATAATTTATTTTCCCTAAAGACTACTTCTTTGCTGTTGTTGATATATCTGAATAAGCTACCAGCTGGTGTAAAACATTCTAAATGGAGGGTTTCTTGCACTTGTAAGTTATAACTTAGTACTATGCCTGTAGAGAATGATGACTTTAAAGAAAATAAATTCATATTTCCTGATAATATCTGAATGGATGGTACAACAAGATTGCTCATTTTAAGGGATTTATTAAAATAGACTGAAAACATCATTGACTATCTATATTCTTGTAGGCACCTTCTACTTTAAAGTACAAAAGAACTTTTATCACAACTGAGGTATTCTACTCTTACTTAGGTGTTACACTGTCCTTTATGCTGATATTCACTTCCCCAGAACCAGTCCAAAATACTTCTTAGCTCCTGAGAGATTACTTCTGATTTTCTTTTTCCAGGTTGGAAATGTTTAACTCCAGAACTGTCTTTTCATGGTGCACATTTTCCTGTAGGCTTCATCATCTAGACAAATCTTCCAACCTCATTTCAACTCCTCACAAAATGGTCATTCCAATCTGAATGAAATCTTATGCCTTGAACCGCAGCACCTTGCTGTTTATAAACTACCTTCCCTCTCCGGGTTATGACTAGTCAATCTTATCCGGGAGTTTTCAGGATCATCTTAGAAAATCATCCCCACTTAGAACCCATCTCCATGGCAGTGTGAATGACATGGACCTTGTATCCAGCTAGAAATGCTGATTTAGCTATTCTTGAGATCCAAGCTCTTTCTTATCTCCAAAGTAAATGGATGTTTAATGTGCAGCTGTTTACAACCTGACATTCTCTATACTTTTCTAGGTCATTGGAAACTCTGTCTATCCATAGTTTATACGTGAGCTGCTGCCATTGTCTCTTGAGTGTAAACACCTTGCATTATCTACTCTAACAATTAAACCACCCAAGCTTGCTGCAGGCAGACTTCAGAACAGATTACGTTATATTCTTCCTTTTACCTTGAAAGTACAGTTTATAAAGGTAACAATCCTACAACCATGAGATTTATAACAGAAAATTCAGACTGGAAATTGAATTTTTAAAAACATTTTTATACTCTCATTTTATACTGTAAACTTTATTTGCTGCTAGCCCTTTGTCTGTCTTTCACTTTTGTTTTTACTTCTGTTTTGTTTTCATTTTTATTTCCATTTTGTAACACAGCTCAGGTCCATGTCCCTGTCACTCTAGTTTAAAAGCCCTGCAAGGAAAATAGTCCTGGGCCTGCTGGGGTGCAACCAGTATAGCTTTGATCCCGTCTTCCACTGAATCTCTCCCTCCTACGCTATCCCTTGTGCTACGCATTCGGCTGGTCTACTCTTATTCCTGACCTTGCTGCCACATGTCACTGAAAATAATCCTGACATTATTTTGAGGTTCTGCTTTCTAATTTATTTCTTACCTCCCTAAATACTGCTTGCAGGACCTCATTCCTCTTTAGTACTGACATGGAACATGATCTCTGGCTCTTATCTATCCTCTTTGGAAGATCCTGCAGATGCTGAATGACAGCCTTGACTCTTAACGCCAGGGATTCAACATACCATTCTGGTGTCAGTACTGCAGCTGCTGAAATGTCTATCTATTCCCCTCGCAATGGAATCCCCTATCACAATTGCTCCAACTCTAGCCTGTTACATTTCCTACCTCTTGTAAAAACTTCCTTCATCTTTCAAGGCTATTGTCTGCCATCTAGGTGCTAAGCTGTGGATTTCCAGTGCTGTTGTCTTTAGCTTTCCACTTATGATGATAGTTTGGAACCCTAAAATCTTATAGGTGTTTTTTAGCCCTTAGTTTCAGAATGTGTTCTTTTAAAAGAAACTACTACCAGTTAAAGGAATCAATACAAAAGAACATCAATCAGTCTACACAACCAAGCTTCTCAAATATTGACTATTCAAATACCCATATCAATGGTACTGGTGCAACCTAATAATAAGAACATAATTTTATCTGCACTTCACAATCAATTTGGAGATTAATTCATAACTTTTAAACAGAACTTTTGTTTTTTTGGACTACTATTTCTAATGTGTGTGTGCCTGTGTTGTCTTCATATTTTGTTGAATAAGCATGCTCTTCTTGTCAATTGAAGAAAGTCTAAGTTGATTTTGGTTTGGGTGAAAGATGAAAACTTTCTCCTTGCTAGATTAACCTTGTTACAACTAGTCAAAAGAGGGAGAGGGGGAGTGTATAAAAAAGGGGAGCCAGTTCATCCTTCCTAACCTGGATTCTGTCTGGAACCATCATGAATTAGGCTGTCTTGTTCGGTGTCAGGTCGTGACTCCACCTCTCTGTAGTTTGCACTGATCATTCCATTGTAAACCCGCTTCCAAGATTTTCTGGAGAAGCTTCATCTAGTTCACTAATCAGTCAAATTGCTCCGAGTTTATAGGGTAAAATGAAAATCGTGCTTTTAGTCAAGGTTTGACTACTATTGCCTAGTATGAATTAAACTATCTTTGAAATAAACACAAGTCCATAATTAAGGTATGTAATTTTCCTTTGCAGTTTCAAGGTTTATTCCTGAACAGATCTCAGTCTGTAGAAAGTAAATGAATATTTTAGTTTATACCCTTATTTGGCGGTCAGAGTCATACAGCATGGAAATAGACCCTTTTGTCCAACCTGTCTATGCTGACCAAGTTTTCCAAACTAAACTAGTCCTATTTGTAGAAGGAATTTTTAAATATTTGTCACACAATATTGACATTCATATAACTATCTATTATCATGAATTCCTCGAAATTGATTTAGTAAGGCAGCAAAATAAAATTGTTTTCAAGTTCAATTATTCCAAGCTTCTTTTATGTTAAAATGTTGCTTATTAATGTATGATTGTAATTTAAGAATAATTAAGTTTGAAGTGTACATTTAATGGGCCCAATGGTAAGAGCCATCCAAAAGGAATATGGAAGTGGTAATTTTGAACATTGCAACATTTATGTGCTAGTGAGTTTTAAAAACTCAGCAGTTGAAGTTTTGTGAATTGGTTTATTCACAAATAGATATTACTTCTGTGACAAGTGCTGGGATTGTGCGGTTTTTGGTGCTGTTAAGAATAACTCCGATTTTTCTCCTCTCCAGAGCTTCGTCAGAGATCATCAACTCAGAAAGCTCAAGTTCCATCCACTCCACAGAATGTCAACCAGGGAAGTCCACGACCTCTGCCGGTTACCACGCCTGTTCAACAGAGCACATCAGCTCCTGGTGGCCCGCCAGAAAAGACTTTACATTCAGTTTCACACACGCCTGTCCTTGGGAGGCGGACGATGCCTCCAGCTGCCTCAGTGCCTGGAATGGGTAAACAAAGTACTTGATTTTAAATGGTTTTTGGCACTATCCCAGGTTACCATTGAAATAGATAACTGATAAACACATTTTGTTTTCTAAATTTTTAGACCCTGCTAGTTGATAAATGAAACTTCAATCACTGACCATTCATAGCTGGCATCTTGTAAATTTCAAGTATCCAACTAAGCTCATTAAAATATTAAACAACTCCTTGTGGCTCAGTGATAGTGTCCCTAATTCTAGATCTGAAGCACTTGATTCAAGTCCCATCTGCCACAAAGGTATGTAAAAACATATCCAAACAGGTTGATTTAAAGAAAAAGGTATGTCAAAAATGTAGCAAACTAGCTTGTGAACTTATGCAAAAATTTGAAATTTTGTGAGAGCATGTTGTAAGCTTACCAATTTCACTGATCAAGTTCATGAACTGCATTTGTACTTTCTTCTTATGTTTTCCACATCATTCAACAGACCAAAAATCAATTAAACACAAAAATGTTGAACCACAGGGCTTCCATCTGGTAGTAAATTAATAACCAGCAGGTATCTGAGAGTTTGCCAAGATTTGTAAAAATGACCAGTCATCTTGCAGTAATTACTCTTGACGTTTAATTATATTAATTATTGTTGGCATGAGTAGCAGCAGAACAAGTAATGCCTCTTTCAGGAGGATTGCATGTTCTTAAGTTATTAATTCAGTGCTTACTTCTGGCAGTAGTGCAAAACAGCAGTAAGTTTGTTTGTATTTGTGCTTTCTAAGACAGTACAGACTCCTAACTTGTAGGTTAACCTGAAAAATATTGATGACTATACCATGTGACTGCTGTTGGCATGGTGTATTCTTTCTGTATATTAAAGTAACAAATCCTTCAAAGTTTGTTTTAATATAGCAAATTTATTTTGTAGATCAACTTAAATATCTGGTCGATGTTTCATTTTTGTAACATGCAGAATTACTCCATATTTTCCCTCATTGGTAAAAGTCAGGAATTTAAGAAAATTGAACTTAAATTGAACAATAATGGAAAACCAATAACTACACAAACATATAGATAGATTTTAAAGGATCTCTGTTGACTTATGTCAAATTAGCTATATTTCATGTTTCAGTTAAATGTCTTCATTAGTCCCCAGCATTATGATGTTTGGAATATTTTGCAGTGTAATTTTTATCTTGACACATTGTCTTTAAGTAACCAGCAGTTAATTCCACTCATCATTAAATTTTTGATTTTTGATTAATAGGTCTTCATCCTCCTGGTCCACCCCTAGCAAGACCAATCCTCCCTCGGGATAGAGGAGCTGTTGATCGAGTTATTGAATATTTAGTTGGTGATGGCCCACAGAACAGGTGATGCTCTTTTATTACGAGTTTTGTGAAAGCATGATATATTAATCAATAAAATCATATTATAATGTGTGGATATAACTTAATTTAGTTTGGAATGATTTGAATAATTGGTTTGTGGGTTGCTGAACCTTTGAAAAGATTAATTTATTAATTGTCACTTTTTAATGCTCATACTTTAATTTTCACAGATATGCACTTATTTGTCAGCAGTGCTTTTCTCATAATGGTATGGCCTTGAAAGAAGAATTTGAATATGTTGGTAAGAAGTACTGCATTGAACTAAAAATTATATGAATACTATGCAAACTAAAGGATATAGAGTTGATCTTGTAAAGTGAGTACTTTTGGTTTAGCTGAAAAATCACGTAAGTAAACTGCTTTTGCATTGATTTTGTTTGCAATACTTTTCCTATGTAAAATAAGCCAGCTCTGCATATTAATGCCTTTTTTTGAGGGTAAATTTTTTCAGCCTCCTGCAACTTGTACGGAATTTCTTCTTTCCACCCTTCTCAAAAAATGCTTTTTTGTGTATTGTGCTATTTGATTCGTCTTCCCTCTCACGTCTGCTCTGGTAATCACTGAATGTTATAGACTGTCACAGCAGGCCACTTCGTCCACCAAAGTCTGTGTCATTGGTTGTTTTTCTCCATGAACTACCTATTCTAATTTCATTTGCTGGCTTGCTTCCCATAGTCTTTTATGTTCTCCTTTCTCAAGCAATTATCTAATTCCCTTTTGGAATAATTTATGAGCTCTACTTCATCAAACATTCTTGGCAGAAAATTCCACACTCTAACCACCCTCTGTGTAAAGAACTTTTCTCGAACCGCATCTTTAATTCTTTTTATGATTGTTTTGGATTTGTGGTCATCCTGTGATGTATTTTCCGTTCCTAGCACAGTATCGGTCTCTGATGTGATACCTGTTCCTTCCATCACATCATCCAATGGCATTCTTCCTTGTATTTCTTCTGATCCACTGTAAACAACTTTTCCAAAGAAGTAACCCCAAAAATTTTCCTTGTGATTCATGAAAAATATGATCACTATAGGTCAGTTTCTGCATTGTATTTATAATTAATGCTGTGCTACCTTTTTCATTTGTTCATGTGATATGAGTTTCACTGGCAAGACCAACTTTCATTGCGCACCCTAATTATCCTTGAGATGCTTGCACTCGAAGTTGCAACTTGAGCAGCTGCAACCTGTGTGGTGTAGGTACCTCACAGTTCTGTTTGGTAGGAAGTTCAGGTGTTAGACCCAGTGCCGGTGACATATTATCAGACTGGTGTGTGACTTGACGGGGAGCTTGCAACTGGTGGTGTTCCTGTTTGCTTGTTGCCTTTATTTTTCAAGGCATTAGAGATCAAAAGCTTGGAAGGTGCTGTTGAAGTAAGTTTTGATAGGTTCTGCAGCACATCTTTTATACACAGCAACTATGCTGGCCTTGTGGTTGAGGAAATGAAAATTTAAGTTGGGTCACCAATGAAACAGACTGTTTTGTTGTGAGAGGTGTTGAACTTCTTGAGTGTTTTTGAAACTTCATTCATCCAGACAAGTGAGGAATATTCCTCATTTATGACTTGCCTGGTAGAAGGGCTTTGGGGACTCAGAAGGTGAGTTGCATGCCTGCTCTTGTAGCCACAGTATTTATGTGGCTAACCCATTTAGGTTTCTGGTTAGTGGTGACCACCCCATCCTAAGGATGTTAATGGTCAAGTATTTAGAGATGGTAATGCCACTGAATGTCAGCCTTTGTGTTGGAAATGATGATTGCCTGGTGCTTGTTTAGCACAGATGTTACTTAACACTTATCTGCCCAACCCTGAATGTTGTCCAGCTTTTACTGCTGTGTCATTAGCCTCAGTGCCTGTCTTGGGGAGAGTATAGGATTCCATATTAATTGTTCAACAAACCTTGCTAAAAATGCCTGTTTGTAGACATTGGACAATGTTAGTATTAGACTTAGTTACAATAGTCCAACATTTGAATATCTTTTACCACCGAGGCTCAATGATGAACAGGGGTACATATTCCGAAGTAGAAAAATTGGTGAGGATTTTTTTTCTTTGAAGTTGAGGAATATAATTCATTTTTTAAACCTTTTAATGTAAAAGTCATATTTCTATGCACTCAGTTCTCATATGTATTCAAACTGTTGCTTAAAAGATAACAGGCACCAGTATGATAAATGGAAACTGCTGCAGCAAGATTAATTGACAGTTGCTTGTCCATTATGATTGAAAGGACAACTTTGGTGCCAAATAGAAGCTCATGGAGGTTTTTTGATTCCTAAAACTGAAAATCGAATGCTCTTGTAATTTTATAAACAAGCTTAAACTTTAGAAATGACTATTTTGGCATAACATCTTCCTGTAAATAAATTGTCGCATGATCTACCTCATTTTGTTTGTATGCTGTTTTCAAATCTGATTGCTAGTTTGCAAAAGAAATTTGGGCAGCATTTTATAATGGCATTTCTAGCCTATGACATGGTTGCAAGAATTCTTCAAGGTAGACATCAATGATTTTCAGCTTCTTCATCAATTCTTCATCAAAGACATAGGGTCAGAAAGGGAGATGCGTGCTTATAAAAGTGTAGTATTTGGTGCCATTCACAACTCTCAGATACTGAGCGATTTGTACTTGCATATGGTAAAGTGTAGACAGCACTGAGGCTTGGGCCAATTGGTCACTTTTGCGCCACACAAATGCCAGACCAATTCCAAGAAGAAAGAGTCTGCCCATCTCCCCTTGATATTCAACAGTATTAGCATCACAAATGTCTACTATCAACATTCTGAGATTACCATTGGCCAGGAACATAACTTGGATCAGGCACTATGGCTACAAAAGCAAGTGAAGTGTATACTTCAGTGAGTAACTCACCATCTCACACTCTAAAGCCTTTTTGCCATCCACAAGACAAGTGAGGAGTGTGATGGAATATAGTCCAGTTTCCTGGATGAATGTACAACAAAACTCATCAAGCACATGATTCAGATCAAAGCAACATGCGTCACCTTCAAGCCTTCACTCCCTCCACCACGCGTGCACCATAGTTAGTGTTTACTGTTTACAAAATGCGCTGTAGTAACTTGCCAAAGCTGCTTCAGCTCATCCTGAACTCTTGACCCCCATTGCTTAGAGGGACAAGAATGGCAACAGTGTGGGATAACTGTTACCTGCAAGGTCCCCGCCGAGTTTCACACTTAGACTTGTAAATATATTGCTGTTCTTTCACTGTTGTTGGGACAATACATTCCTTATTCAACGGCACAATGAAAATACCTTCACCACACAGGATAGCAGTAATTTTTAATAAGACCGCTCACCACTACTTTCTCAATGACAGTTAGTGATGGGTAATAATTACAGTCATTGTTAGTGACTTCCATTTCCCGTGAATTAATTTTGAAAATCATCTGTGCTTTCAATAGGAGCTTGCCATACATACACAGTGGCCATTTCTTGGTTTGGTGTGTTGTTTAGTGGCTTCTCCAGGTTGCTAGTTGTAACAGTCAGCAAGATTTTCAAAACATTAACAGCTTGCCAGCTTTGGGCAATGGATATTGCTTTTAGCTTGTGGTAGTGATCTCGGAAATCCTGCATACAATGCCCGCATTACTGTGGTTTTAAATTAATAAACCAAAGAGAGAGTTCAAAGTCCACAGTTCAGATCACCAACAATGCTGAAGATAAATTGCAAATTAATCACAGTTTAAAATCAATGGTCTCCCATTTAGAATGAGGATGAAGAATATTTTCTAAGCGTTGAGAGCCTGGAACTTTTCTCCATCAAACTTTGGAGGTGGGGTCACTGAATAATTTTAAGGCAAAGGTAGATTAGTTCTTGACTAACATAAAAAGTCAATGGTTATGGAAGGTAGGTGCAAATGTGGAGAAAAGGCCACATTCAGATCAGTCATGATCCTATTAAATGCTGGGGCAGGCTAGTGGGGCTGAACGGTCCACTCCTGTTCCTGAATTGTATGTTTGTATGAGCTAATGCCTAGCTTTAATTTATGAAGTCTGGAGATATAGTAAATAGGAATGTCTGAGGTTATGAGGAGCTCTCCATTTTTGATGTCTTTGGAAAGAATGAGTTTTCAACACTGAGGCTTTAGAGATGACGTGTAAGACAGATGCTTGCGGGTAAGGGGTCTCGTGATTAGGTTCTGGGAAAATCTGACGATTAAAGCATCAACTTGTATGTGCAAGAGAAAAAAAGATGACAAATGAGATTGAAGGGTGTGGTTCCAAGAGAGCAATTGGCTATCTGGACAGGAATATTTTTTACTCTAGGAGGTGCAGCATTGGTATTTTCAGCATGTCGGTACTTAAATACCGTAGGAAGCAACTGTATTATGAATGTTCAGATGAGAAAGCATTCTTTCCTGATGTATGCTGAAATTATTAACAATGGTAATTCTTTTGAAATTCCACCTCTGTGTGAAAGTTTCTGTCCATGGGTTCTCCACATTTCTTTATCCTAACTGAGGGAAGAATCTGTTTCATAAGTTTAAGTAAAAAAAACATAGGGGAAGGAATTGAAAATGCCTTAATGAGAAACTGTAACTGCTAGAATTGCTCTATGGGCCAGACAGCGCCTCTGAAAAGATAATCAGTTAACATTTCAAATGATTACTTTTGTCAGAACTGGAGAAAATTAGAAATGCATCAGGTTTTAAACGAGTGCAAAGATAGGAAAAAGCGGAGGAGTAAAGGGCAAAAGGAAAGTCTGTGTAGAGGGAAAAGCAAGTAGGATTGAATGACAAATGTGGTATTGTTTGTGAAAACCTCTTGAGTCATCCTTAATAATTTTTTTCCTCATTATAAATGACTTGTTTACAAGAAAACTTGCACATGGATTTAGTGTCTTGTAAAAGTATGAGGACTGTGAAAGTGAAAATTATATTGTCAAATCATGTTTTTATGTAGCTAGAGTTGTTGAGGTGATATGCCCCAAACTGTCCGATTTAAGCGTGTCCTTATCTTTTTCTTGATCATTTAAGACTCCAGATAGCAATCATTGATGTTGCATAAAGTTTTCAAACCAAACCTTCGCGAATTTCTAAGCACGTTTGCTATCTGCTAGATACATAATACACTGCCTCTGCCCTTTATAGAAATATACCTCATTTACCCAAGAGTTAGGCTTGGGAACCTTCAAGTGCAAGGTCCTGCTTTTACAGTGTTATTGCCTAAAATATCCCAATTTATCTTCCAGCTTCATCAAACAACCAGACTGCCAGTTCAA